TTTTTAAAAGCAAAATGGTACAGATACTGGAAATCTAAAATGAGCACAGAAAATGCTGGAGAAACTCAGCAGGTCCAGCAACATCTATGGAAACAGAATTAATGTTACAAGTCTAACATGACTCTTCTTTGGGATGCGCAACTTTTTTTCCAGATTAAAGTTGCAATTAAACTTATGTATTTATTGCTACTTTACTTTCGGTTATTTAATGTGAAACTTGCTGCTGGTGCCGAGCAGTAGGTCCATCCAGATAGACTCATAGGGCATAGAAACAGACCCTTCAGTCCAACTTGTCCATGCTGACCATAATCCCAAACTAAACTAGTTCCTTTTGCTTACATTTGGCCCACATCCCTCTAAACCTTTCCCATTCGTGTACCCGTCCAAATGTCTTTTAACTGTGCCTGCATTGACCACTTCCTCTGGTAGTTCATTTCACATAAGAACCACCCACTGTGTGAAAATGTTATCCCTCAGGTTCCTTTTAAATCTTTCCCCTCTCACCTTAAAAATATGCCCTCTAGTTTGGAACTCCCCTACCCTAGGGAAAAGAGCTTTGCTATTCACCTCATCGACGTCCCTCATGATTTAATTAACTTCTTTTACATCACCCCTCAACCTCCTATGCTCTAGTGAAATAAGTCCCAGGCTCTCCTTATAACTGAAACCCTTCAGTTCTGGTAACATCCTTATAAAGCTTTTCTACACTCTCTCCAATTTAATAATATGCTTCCTATAGCAGGGAGTCCAGAACTGTACACAGTGCTCCAAAAGTGGCCTCACCAACGTTCTGTACAGCCACAACATGACGTCCCAATTCCTGTTCTTAGTGGTTTGAGCAATGAATCCAAGTGTGCCAAACACCTTCTTAATCACCCTAATTGTGATGCAATTTTCAAAGAATTATGTACCTGAACCCCTAACTCTCTCTATTCTACAATACTCTCCAGGGCCCTTTCATTAACTGTATAAGTACTGCCCTTGTTCATCTTACCAAAATGCAATACCTCACATTTATCTAACTTAAACTCCACCTGCCACTCCTTGTATGGAAATTTAAACTCTCGGATATGCTCAAAGTGGGGGAGGTGATGGCCTAGTGATATTGTCACTAATCTATTAACCCAAAGACCCAGCTAATGTTCCAGAGATTTGGGTTTGAGTCCTACCACACGGTGGAATTTGGATTTAACAAAAATCTTGAATTAAGAGTCTAATGATGAACCACGGAACTATTGTTGGGAAAGGCGTAGCTGGTTTGAAAATGCCCTTTAGGGAAGAAAACTGCAATCCTCGACAGGTCTGACCTGCACATGACTCCGGACCCACAGCAATGTGGTCGACTCTTTATTGCCTTTTGGGCAATTAGGGATGGACAATAAATGCAGGCCTGGCTAGTGATGCCCACATCCCGTGAATGAATACAGAATGAGTCCCTTTACTCCATTCACCATCAAGTTATGAAGTAGACTTCGGACAAATATGGAGAACTTGCTTCATGGAGAGAAGACTCTGGGCAAAAGCAGACTGTAGTTAAATAACTCTGATGGAGAATCAATCCCAAGGTGAAAGTATATCTGATGTAGCTCCTGACATAAGCTTGTGTATTTCGCATCTTCTAGTCAGCGGTGAGTGAACCTTGGTTCATACAATGTGAACATCAAGGTGGCTGGAATCCTGCCATCTATCCTGTGTATTATGAGGCTGTGTTGATGCAGTTGCATAAAGGGGAAACTCTAAAGCTTGGGAGGGCATCAACTGGGGACATTACCCAGAACATCCACCAGTGACAGGCATAGTGATGTACAGCACGGAAACAGACCCTTCGGTCCAACTCCTCCATGCTGAACAGATATCCCAAATAAATCTAGTCCCATTTGCCAGCATTTGGCCCATATCCCTCTAAACCCTTCATCTTCATATACCCATACAGATGCCTTTTAAATGCTGTAATTGTACCAGCATCTACCACTTCCTCTGGCAGCTCATTCCATACGCGCTCCACCCTCTGTGTGAAAAAGTTGCCCCTTAGGTCTGTTTTAAATCTGTCTTCTCTCGCCTTAAACATATGGCCTCTAGCTTTAGACTGCCCTACCACAGGAAAAAGACCTTGGCTATTCACCCTATCCATGCCCCTCATGATTTTATAAAACTCTATAAGGTCACCCCTCAGCCTCTGACGCTCCAGGGAAAATAGCACCAGCCTATTCAGCCTCTCCCTGAAACCCTCCAACCCTGGAAACATCCTTGTAAATCTTTTCTGCACCCTTTAAAGTTTAACTACATCTTTCCTGAAGCAGGGAGACCAGAATTGAACACAGTATTTCAAGTCTTTCCAGTGCTCCCAGTTGGGAGCTGGCCTCTGGATGCTGGGTAAACTCCAATGGGTCAATGATAAATATGAGTTTGTTTTCCTCTATCAATGTGCACCTAAACCCTCTTCAGGTGGTCATTCGGGTCTGCCTGCCAGGGACAGAGCTTGGAATCAATACCTCAACCCTGTATTTCTTTCTTGACCCTGCCCCAGAGAATGTGTTAACAGCTTGTAAATGACTGCATATGAATGCTTGGCGCATCTATGGGATATTCCTTTGTCTTGTTTTTGGTGCATGTTATCAATCATCTAATATGTCTGCCGTCCTCAGTGGACTATGGTTAATTACCTATCTCTTCCTCATTCTGCGTCAATAATGAAATATCTAGTTCTAAATGTATCTGTTAGGGTCTTTAATTCACAGCAACCAGACAGATCTGAGAAGACTGATCTCTCACTTTACTCTCCCTCAACACACTCCTTGTCTTTGTATGGATCTTTTCTGAGGAGTTTGATACATTAAGTATTGATTCTCAGGAGCCCCTGGGGTCGAAGACTCTGATTTCACTTATCTTTCAACATGAGGCTGATCAATTATGTGCAAGGGATCTTAGCTGCAGAAAGTATTGATGTGACATTGATACTTACAGTATAAATCTGAAGGATGAATGAAGCGAATAATGATTAAAGTGAATAAAGCAGAGATAGAAACTGCATTCAATTTGAGAGAATTGAATTTGATGTTCCTGGTAGACCACTAGGAGGCAGCATTGTTCTGAGGCTGATCTTTGCTATCAAGAGTGCTTTTTAGCTCGTGTAAGACTTGTTAAGGGAAGCATTTTTATAGATAGCCAGTTGAGAACCCCTGACCTACAGAATGTGTGAACAGCTTGTAAATAACTGCAGACAACTGCTTAGTGCATCTACTGGGCATTCCTCAATCTTTGTCTTAACATGTACATAATTCTGTGTAATTAACTCATTTACTTTAACTAGGACAATGTCACCATTAAATGATGCAGAGGAATACTCCACAAGCTGTTAATTACCAACGATAATCTTTGAACTGTGGAGCAGCGAGGTTAATTACTGAAAAGGAACAAAGGCATCAATGTCTGAAGAACTATAAAGAAAAGTCTTTCTTGTACTTTGTGTCTTGCTTTCGTACTGAGAAGGAAAAATCAAGGTCTTTTTCTAAAAATTTCTTTTATGCGATGTGGGCATCATTGGCTGAGACAGTATTTAATTGCCCTTGAGAAGGTGGTGGCGAGCTGTGTTTTTAAACCTCTGCAGTCTGTGTGGTCTGGGTACACAGGCACTGCTGCTAGTAAGAGACTACCACTTGGCATCTCTGAGACAAGGTTGAAAACCAGAAATAACCTTAGACTTCGATTTCCCATTCCCATGGGGAAAATCCAACTCAGTTTCTTCATACTTACTGACCAATGACCTTCAAAGGAATGCTTTAGAACATTAATCACGCTTTGATATCTTTTGATCAGGTTGCAAATATTTCCAATAGAATCAACCGTTCAAATGTAAGGACTGAATTCACTGTGAGGAGCCATGCCGTCCTTCATATTCTGCATCTGGTGCATCTGCTACGTTAGAGCTATGTTAGACCCATAATATATAGCCCACAGATGTAATTTTCAACAGTGTGGGCATCTATCACAGTGCTAACCCACGAGACAGTTGGAAAGGAGGAGTGGATGTGATTTGCTCCAGTACCTTTAGATGCTGAAGAGATGAAATGGTGGTTTAGTCTATATTCATGCAGAACTCCAACTCGGTAAGGAATTGAAGTCAAGTTTGGAAGGGCTGCTCGGGGGATAATTGAGGATCTAACTGACAATTAAATTAACTGCTAGCACTCACTAAAAAGGCTGCACACCTATTTTGGGTATCCTAATGCCCTCCGATGGTGACCAGCAGAATAGAAGTACATGAACCATTGCTGAGACTATTATCTGAAGATACACCATCTTTTAAGCTTCCAGTTGCCTCAAGTGTTTGAAGAGGACTTTTGAAACACAAGGGGAGACTTGTTGAGACATTTGCCAAATTTGTATTGGCACTTGTTCTGGAAATTATTTGAGGACTTTGTCTAAAAAGTGAGATGCTACTTATTGAATTCCTAATAGGAACCAGTAGAAGAAAGTGAAGGTTTGAGCATTAGCATCTCACTGGGGTTTCCCTTGGTTTGCAGGATGAATGGGAGAAGGGAATGAGGCCAGGCTGAACAGCATTAGCTGCTGCAGGAGAGAGGGACAGGAGACTGAAGTAGACTCTGTTCCCCCAAGTGAGGGAGAAAATCCTCAATGTATAGCACAAATGGGAGCAGGGGACTGAGTTGGATGATCAGCCATGTTCACATTGATTTGCGGAAAAGGTTTGTTGGGCCAAATGGTCTACTCCTGCTCCTACCTTCTATGTTTCCAAATGGATGCAAGTTTGCACCATTTCTGAAATGAGCTCTTACAGAACAGGGCAAACAATATTTTCATTGGTAATGTAGGCAGAACATTCTTTTTTACTGTATGACAGATTAAATAGGGGAATGATGGGGACGAAACACAAAAAAGAATTCAAAAAGGATAACGATGCACCAGGAACAAAGAAGTGATCTCAATGTTAACTTTTTCGTATTTAGCAGTGCAGTCATCAGCTATCTTCATCCAATGAATTGTCCTCAAATTTTCTCCTTTATGTTATAAACGTAAGCAAAGAACATGAAAAGATGTGTTCTAGCCATTATAAATGGTGAGATTGTAAATGCATTCCACAATCATGTGCTTATGACTTCATTGCAGATTGTGACAATTACTCTCCTTATAGGCTGTATATTAGTGGTTATGAAATTCCTTTGTTTTTCTTCCCTGTTGCACGGTGCAAATGTAATGCGTGAATGCATTGCTGATTCTGAACTTGTCACACAAAGATGAATTACAACCATCCGTTTATAATCCTACTGTCATACTCCCCTTCCTGTAGAGAGGTACCTTGCTTTCACTAGGTACCATTCCCCATTGTCCCCCTATCCCACTGTTGGGATGCAACAATCAGGTCCCTAGTGAAGCACACAGTCTTGGTTTTTACAATTAAGTATCCAGTGGCATTAGTTATAAGTGTCAATGTCACCCTATGCCAGAAAGTAATGCTTCAAACCCTAATCCTGAATTTGGCTGCAGTATTGAGGGAGCATTGCATTGTCAGAGCCTATCAAATAAAGCATTAACCTGAAGTTCCAGAACTGTTCAGTTAAGCGTAAAAGATCCCAATGGCGCGTTTGCTCATGGTGATCTAGCCATTGATTGTCCAAACAACACAACAAAAAAAAACTAACTTCCAACTTATCTTATTGTGGGAGCTTGCTGTGCATAAATGGCAGTGTTTGGCATCAAAACAACAGTGACTACACCTCAAAAAGTAATTGAGTGGCCATGAATTGTTCTCAGATATCCTGGATATGTGAAAGGCTCTATAGAAAGGCAAAGCTTTCTTTTGGCTTATGCTTTGAAGTCATTAAAAGTTGATGTCCATATTCAATCATAATGGCCGTGTTTTGGAGATGTGAATATACAGTGGTGTGGAATAAACCCTCACTTTGGCATAATTGCTGCTTTGTCAGATGTGGTTTCTTCTGATTCCATTTCATGCTCTTCCAGGCTGTCAGGCTCAGATGGGATAATTTTAACACTACTTTCCTCAAACAGTGCGTGTTTGTTCTTTGTATGCGTGCTCAGGTTACCAAAAGTACTTTCTTGAAGCGTCCTTACACTTTCATTGGAGAGAGGTCTTTTGCTGTTGACTCTAAAGACGTTACGCACATAGCTGACCACAGCTAACTTCTTCTTTGTGGTGCCATGATGGAAGCTGTACGTTTGCTCCATCTGCCCAGCATCTGTCAGGGTCACGGCATTGATATAGTCCCGGGAACATCCCTGTGCGTTTGGCACGTTGGGCACATCCTTATGATACCTTTTCCTCAGGTTCAACAAAAAGTAGGCAAGACCACTCACTATCAGCATGGCGCCTGGAAGAGATTGGCATGGCAACATTAGTATGGCAGTACTCCTTGGCTCCTGATGACATTCAAAGTAAAACCTGCAACTGTTGCTATTCTGAAAACAAAAAATGCTGGAGATCACAGCAGTTCAGGCAGCATCCATGGAGAGAAAGCAAGCTAACGTTTCAAGTTGAGATGACTCTTCATCAGAACTGACGTGAAGTGTGGATGGGGTAGCATTTATGCATTATTTGGCGGTGGGGGAGGTGGTTGTGGATTGTGGAGTGCTGGGGGAGAAAGGGTGTTGATAGTGCAGATTCCGTGATCAGAATGTGAGAATGGCAGAACAATGGTGTGTCTAAATGCCAGACTGGAAAGAACAGATGGTCCCACTGGATTGGGGGAGAGGGGAGAGAGGACATGGTGACAGAGAATACAACAAGTAAAGTGAAAAAAAGGGAAGGAATGGGAGTGAGTTCACAATCTGAAAGTGTTGGACTCAATATTAAGTCCAGAGTGCTGTAAAGTGCCCAGTCTGAGGATGAGATTGATGTTCCTCCAGTTTGTGGGTGATCTATTGGTGTTGTTTGCTTTAAAAATAATAACAGATAATACACAAACATTTCCACTTAGGACCTGAAGAGATTTGACTCAAAGGTAGGAATGTTGCCTTTGGGTCAGATGGTTATAGGTTTAGGTCCTGCTCCAGGGACATGAAGACACTTGGTTTAAGCTGACCCTGCAGAAAGAAGAGTCAGCTCAAACCATGTTCTGAAGAAGAGTTCCGACCAAAAATTTCAGCTTTCTTGCTCCCCTGATGCTGCCTGGCCTGCTGTGTTCCTCCTGCTCGACACTGTGTTATCTCTGACTCCAGCATCGGCAGTTCTTGCTATCTCAGTGATTTATACCTTCATTGCGAAGCATCTTCTAAGGATGCCTACCTTGAAGAAATTACCCTCCTCCCTCCTGAAAGACTTCTGTGGATCTCTGTCCCACTGCGGCCCTGAAACTCTTCGACCACATACTGAAGCAAACCAGGTACTACAGCCACATCTCCTTTCTCAGTACCTGCCTACGGAACCAGATCATCCCCAATGGACTCCAATCTACATTCAGGCCTTCCCGATTTGGCCCTGACCACGATAATCTCTACATACACACCCAGATCCTCCAAAAATAGTTTTCTGTATGGATCCTCAAGCACACAATCTCAGCAATGCGCCAGCATCTCCTGGCCCTACAATCAAACCTACCCCAGCTCAGAGCCTCCCTCTCCAAGACCTGCAAAGGACCTCTTCTGTTTTTTCATTCTTTGCAGGATCCACAACCTCAACCAACACTTTTACTTCGCCCTGTCTGACATTAAAAACCATTTCTGAAGAAGGGTCCTGACCCGAAATGTCAACTTTCCTGCTCATCTGATGCTGCCTGGCCTGCTGTGTTCCTCCAGCTCCACACTGTGTTATACCTGCAGAAAGAGTGCTGCTCTGTCGTACGCTTTTGAATGTGATATTAACCCCTCTCAAGTGGATGTGGAAAATCCCACAGTTTTACTTGGAAAAGATGAGGTGTTCTGAGCTATATTTACCTCTTGGTTGACATGACTAAAACCTGAACATTCCCTGATTACCTGACTGCTGTATGTTTTCCACAAATTGACTGCATTGTTTCCTACTTTTCAACCCTGACAACATATCAGAGCAAAGTGCTATGGAATGATGTGAACATTCTTCAAATAACTCTAACTCCTCGGACTTCAACAAACAACAAAGAACAACAAGGAACAATACAGCACAGGAACAGGTCCTTCAGCCCTCCTAGCCTGCGCCGACATATTTTGCCCATCCGTACTAAAACTGTCTTCACTCACAGGATCCATATCCGTCTAATCCCTTCCTGTTCATGTATTCATCCTGGTGTTTCTTGAATGCTGCTATAGTGTCTGTCTCCATCACCTCCTCTGGCAACGTATTCCAGGCACTCACCACCCTTTGTGTGTAAAATGTGCCTTGTGCCCCTCTTTTAAACTATGCCCCCCCACCCCCCCCCAACCTGGAACCTCTGACCCCTAATAATTGACCCCTCCACCTGGAGAAAAGCCGCATACTTCCCACTCTATCCATGCAATTCAAAATCTTTTAAAATTCTATCAGGTCACCCCTCAAACTCCTGCATTCCAGTGAAAACAAACCCACTTTGATATAATTTGGGAACTGATACTGGAAAATCCCAATGTGCAGCTTAGAAATAGAAAATCTACCCTGGATCTTTGGAAGTCTGTTTGTAAAAACTATAATTCTGGATTCTGACAGGTATGTCAGAATTGGATTTGAAATGCTACTTTCAAAGTCAAACATTGATTTCAGTGGGGTGATTAGTTTAGAAGTGTTGCTTGTTGACCTGTTCAGATGTGTAATGGCACAATTCCAGAGCAGGTCATACTTGAACCCAAACCTAGTGGTAGGGATATTACCGCTGTGCCATAAGAATCCTTAGAAAAGAGGCCAGGGTTTATTAGGCTTCAACAAAGCAAGGAATGGCACCCATTGAGACTGGCCATTATGACAGTTGCAATGTGGTCAGTTTAATATGTAATATGTTTGAGACAATATGTGGCTGGGTTTTAATGCTGTTTGCACCACATATGTGGGCGATCATATTTGGCAGTAACCAACTCCCTGCTCTCCACCAGTGTGAAAGCCCACTAGATCAAGCACTTAAGTGCCAAGCTTTTTGTCCTGTCAGATGCATTGATGACAAGGACCAGAGGCTGCCAGACAGTAATAAGTTCTAAAACTTGAAATGTTGTGCGATGCTTCCAGACAGTCACTGAAATTAGACGCTCTTTGTTGAAGTTATTGGAGCAGATGGAGATTGTACACCATCACGTTACAAATGTATTACTGCTGACTAGTTTCTTTCATTGTAAAGGAGACACATGGAGCATTGAGGGACCAAAGAGAAAGATTAGAAATTTAACTTGGAAATTCATAAATTTCTCACCTGGAATAGTTGCATGCCAAATAAGAATTGGGTGTAAGAAGCAAGCCACGGACAGAAAGATGAAAATAAGAAATTTCTGTAAACCATTAGGCCTCATAGCCTTCTTCCAGAGATTCCAAATCTTGCCATCCGTTTTATCAAAGAACATGCTAAAAGGACAAGAATAACATCTTGAATTTTAATATCTATTGTCTTAATACAGAGTGCATTAGAAATCAAATGAAAAGAGTTCATTCTGTCTGGTGGATCTAAGCACACTTTTTTTAAAATGTGACTTTTCATTTTGGGATAAAATCAGAGTCAATACTGAAACGAAGGACAATCCAACAAGACACTGCAACCGCACTGTTAGCATTTCCTCTGAAATGAAGCACTTTTATTGGACTCTACTAATCCGTGCCTTTCTCCATTAAATATTTAGCACAAGAGAATTTAGCATTTATTGATTTGGCTGAAGAGGAATGAAAATGAAAGAGACTAGTCATTCTATAATGGAAAATATGTATGCTGTTTCTCACTGCTAATGATTAATGTTTAAAATTTGTTTTAAAGGACAGAATTATTTATTTTTTAATTTGTTCATGGGATGTGAGTTTCGCTGGCTGGGTCAACATTTATTATTGCCTTACCCTAATTGCCCTTGAGAACGTAGTGGTAAATTGCCTTCTTAAACCACTGCAATCCTTTTGATGTCTATAGACCCACAATGCTATTAGGGAGAGAGTTACAGGATCTTGACCCTGCGAGACTGAAGGAATGGCAATATTCCATACTGGGCTCCCTGCTTTAGAAAAGATGTTACTAAACTTGAAAGGGTGGAGAACACTTTATAAGGGTGTTGTTGGGGTTGGAGGGTTTGAGATACAGGGAGAGACTGAATAGACTGGGGCTTTTTTCCCCTGGTGCATTGGAGATTGAGGGTGACCTTTTGGAAGTTTATAAAATCATGAGGGGCATGGAGAGGGTGAATAGTCGAGGTCTTTTTCCCAGGTAGAGGAGTGCAAAACTAGAAGGCATAGGTTTAAGGTGAGAGGGGAAAGATTTAAAAGGAACCTAAGGGGCAACATTTTCATGCAGAGGGTGGTGCGTGTATGGAAAGAGCTGCCAGAGGAAACAGTGGAGACTGGTACAATTACAACATTTAAAAGGCATCTGGATGGGTCTGTGAATAGGAAGGGATTAGAGGGATTTGGGCCAAATGCTGGCAAATGGGACCAGACTAATTTAGGATATCTGGTCGGCGTGGACAAGTTGGACCAAAGGATCTGTTTCTGTGCTGTACATCTCTATGACTCTACATTACACATCTCTTGAGTGAGTGGAACTTGAACCTGGGTTATTGAGTTCAGAGGTAGCGACACTACCACTGTACCACAAAAACCCAATGACAGGATTTATGTTCTTTGATGGAGCGGTGCTGTTAGTGCTGTTTGTAGTGTAAGGTGCTGAGGCACACAGGATCATTACAGCAACAGGATTGTTTGAAAAACAGATCTACTTACGGACAGTGTTGGACAAACACAATGCCAATGAAATATGGGCTTTCCAAAATGATGAGGACTGTGGCAGCAAATCTTAAAATGAAAGGAGACATTAACCACTCAATCTGTCTTCATGCATTTACAAAGCTTTAACAAAAATATGGAAATCATGTCTGTATACTTACAGCAAGTAAGCAGCCAGTTTCATGAACTGCCCTTGAACTGCAGTATCTATCCCCACTCCCAGAAGAACTATGTGTTAAATGGACAGAAAGCGTGTCATTAATATCAATTTGCTGCTAGTTAAACAGTTCTTTTGTCTTTTACCAATTAGATTCCAACTGAATCTTCATATCGTTTGACCAGGACAGCCTTCAAACAATCCTTTCAAAATGTAGCATTCTCATTTCAGAATCAGCACTTTAAGCAAAAGTTAGACTTTCATAGAATTATGGTATCATAGAATGGTTACAGCAGAGAGGGGACCATTCAGCCTATTGCATCTATGCTGGCTCCTCTTCCAGAGAAATTTCACTGAATCAAAGGTGCGTTTTGTGGCATACTTTTAAAAAATGAGAAATCACATAAAATGACTTGGATAAGTTCATATAAATTACCATTGATTCGTAACTGCTGGGTCAAAGAAGAATTCCCTGCTTTCCCCAAGAGAAGGTTGAAAACAGCTGGGAGTGTTTTGTTGGATTAGCAATAAACACCAGTTTTGCCAGCCTCACTTAAGTAGAGTCATAGATTTATACAGCACGGAAACAGACTTTTCCGTTTAACTCATCCATGCTGACCTGATATCCTAAACTAATCTTGTCCCATTTGCCCAAATTTGGCCCTTATCCCTCTAATACCTTCCTATTCATATACCTGTGCAGAAACATTTTAAATATTGTAATGTACACACCTCCACCACTTCCTCTGGCAGTTCATTCCATACACTCACCACCCTCTGTGTGAAAAAGTTGCCTCTTAGGTCCCTTTTAAATCTTTCCCCTCTCATCTTAAACCCATGCCCTCTAGTTTTGGACTTTCCTACCCTGGAGAAAAGACCTTGTCTATTCACCCTATCCATGCCCCTCATGATTTTATAAACCTCTATAAGATTATCCTCAGTCTTCAAAGCTCCAAGTAAAATAGCTCCAGCCTATTCAGACTCAACCTATAGTACAAGCCCTCCAACCCTGGCAACATCCTTGTAAAGCATTTCTGAACCCTTTCAAGTTGAACAACATATTTCCGAAAGATGGGAGACCAGAAATACACACAGTACTCCAAAAGTGGCCTAACCAATGTCCTGAACAGCTGCAGCACGGCATCCCAACTCCTATATTCAATGCAGTGACCAATAAAGACAAGCATGCCAAAACCTTCTTCATTATCCTAGCTATTTGCAACTCCATTTTCAAGGAACTATGCGCCTGCACCCCAACGTCTCTTTGTTCAGCAACACTCCCCAGGGCCCTACCATTAACTGTATAGGTCCTGTCCTGGTTTGCCTTACCAAAATGTAGCCCTCACATTTATCTAAATTAAACTCCATCTGCCACTCCTTGGCCCATTGGCCCATCTGATCAAGATCCTGTTGTACCCTGAGATAACCTTCTTCTCTGTACAATTTTGGTGTCATCTGCAAACTTATTAACCATACTTTCCATATTCACATCCGAACCATTTATATAAATGATGAAAATCTGGTGAACAAACACAAAATAACCCAAGAATTTCAAATCTGCGGGCGCAGTCTGAACTAGAGCAGGCAACATAACATTCTCAATGGCACTCTCCCTAAATGAAACATTACCATAGTTTTACTGGATAACATTCTCCCTGCAGCACAACTGAATGTAGCATTTCTCCATGTGACAGGTAGGTGGCAGAGTCTGACCAGGGAAAAGAACTGGGAACTCGTTTCAGGAATGCGTCAACAAGAACTGCTTCAAGTGTAAGGTGTAAACATTCAAGACCCATTTAGTGATTGTTTGAAGCCAGTTAAATATTGAAAGATCACAGGAGTTGTCTCAGTTGCAACACTTTACCTGAATTCAATTAACCTGGCCAACAGTAGCTCAAACTTTGACAACACAGTTTGAAGCTGGAGGAACACAGCAGGCCAGGCAGCATCAGGAAAGTTGACGTTTCGGGTCAACTTTCCTGCTCCTCTGATGCTGCCTGACCTGCTGTGTTCCTTCAGCTCCACACTGTGTTGTCTCTGACTCCAATGTCTGCAGTTCTTGCTATCTCTATAGCTCAATCTTTGGTTGTCTGTGTGTTTCAAATATTCTGAGTGATTTTGAGAGTTACATCAATCTTTTGCAGATTTAAATAAAGCATTCACAGATTTTTTTTCCCCCTTTATTCATTCATGGGACGAGGGCATCGCTGGCTAGGCAGCATTTATTGTCCATCCCTAATTGCCAGAGGGCAGTTAAGATTCAACCACATTGCTGTGGATCTGGAGTCACATGTAGGCCCTATCAGGTAAGGATAGCAGTTTCCTCCCCTAAAGGACATTAGTGAACCAGGTAGGTTTTTTCCCCAACAGTTGGCTTATGGTCATCATTTTTTAATTCAAATTCCACCATCTGCTATGGTGGGATTTGAACCCAGGTCCCCAGAACGTAATCTGGGTCTCTGGATTAACAATCCAGCGATAATACCACTAGACTGTCACCTCCCTCTGACAATAAACAAACTATTCCTGAGCAAGTCATCCTACATTTCATTGTACTTTTTTCCTTTGTGCCGAGCGGCTTTAATGTGCTCGTTGACAAGAATGTAAGTTGATACAACGTTTAGCAAAGTTCTGATAGACATATACAGTGATGCCTGATTGTTGTGATGCAGTGGGTAGTGGGTAAATCACGCAAAAACTGCCAAGAAAATAGCTTAGGGCGAAGCATCAGTACACAATGAATCACGAATCTGCCTTTAGGAACAGCACATCTAGCAATGCTTGCACAGACCAAATATATGGGTCACGCTTGAACATTACATGCCATTTAGGGCATGTCACTACCTTCAAAAAGATTCTGTTTTATTTACTCATGGGATGTGAGCATCGCTGGCTAGGTCACCATTCATTGCCAATTCCTAGTTACCCTTGAGATGGTAGTGGCGAATTTCCTTTTTGAATTGTTACAGGCCATTTGATGTTGATGTCCTATAGCACTGATAGGGAGGAAATTCCAGGATTTTGACCAGCGACACAGAAAGAACAGCGATATTGTTCCAAATCAGGAAGGTGAGTCGCTGGGACACAACTTGGAGGTGGTGGTGTCCCCATGTTCTAGAAGGAAGTGTTCATAGATTTGGAAGGTGCTACCTAAGGAACCTTGGTGAATTTCTGCAGTGTGTCTTGTAGATGGTACACACTGCTAACACCGAGTGTCAGTGGTTCTGGGAGTGACTCCATATTAAAGAAACAAATGTTTTTCTAATAGAAAAAGAGGATATTTTGGCCCCTTGTATCTCTGCCAACTCATTCCTAGACCAATCCAGAACTAGGCAAATGCCTCAACCTTTCTTTGTGGAAAAACATTCCATTATCCAACCCCCTTCTGTGTGAAGGATCTCTCCACATCCTTTCAGATACAAACCACTTACCATCCAGACTGGGAAACCTATCCCTGTTGTTTCAGAGTCGTTGGGCCAAAATCCTGGAATCCCTTGCCTAACGACATTGCACATAGACTGCAATTGTTCAAGAGGACAGCTCATCACCACCTTCTTGAGGACAACTAAGGATGGGCAATAAATGCTGACCCAGCTGGTGATGCCCCTATCCCATGAGTGAATAAAAAAAATTCAAGCTGAAGATCAGACCTGCCAACTTTTCAACCGGAGGAATTAATCTATTGCCATTTATGTCACAAATATGTTTAATAACTTAAAGATCCTCAATTAAACCCCCTTGACTCTTCTTCACTCTAATGGAAGTAGTTGCAAGATCTCAAGAACCGCCTTATGATTGTAGATTTTCACCTTTGGCTTTATTCAGTGACTTTATTTTGATTGGTCACAGATGTGTTAATTATGCGAGAAGTGAATCCGACATGCATTCACTGCAAAAGGGAGGTCAAACACAATCTAATGTATTTTAATACTGGGAGACAGAGATGATCTGGATGGAAGAAATTATTCCTTAAACTGGTGCCTGTACCAATCTCTTCAGGTGTCAGCCTTGCTGTGACCTTGGATAGTCCTGTGCCTCGTAGGGGCAATGGAGAGTAGTGCTGATGCCACTGGCCTATTGATTCAGGTAAATACTCTGGGGTTGTGTGTTCAAATCCTCCAGCAGCCAGCGGAATGTAAAGCTAGCAGACCAGGCAGCATCAGAGGAGCAGGAAAGTTGACATTTCATGTTGGGACCCTTCTTCAGAAATCAATGGAAAGCCAGCTTCAGCAGCAGTGGCCAGGAAACTAACACTGATTTTTGTAAAAATCTATTCAGTTCTGTCTTCTTTGTCCTTTAGGGAAGGAAAGCTGGTATCTTCCCTTGTGTGGCCTACACATGACTCCAGATCCACAGCAATGTGGTTTGTCTCTGAAGTAGACCTAACAAATCATTTAATTCAAAGGCGATTAGGGATGGAGGACAAATGCTGGAATTGTCAGGGAGGCCCACGTCCCATGAAAGAATCCTATTGTCATTTTCACCATCTGGAAGGCAGTTCTCAAATCATCCTTGGACAGCCTGCTCCAATCCTGGAACTCATTGTACATCACAGCTTTCAGCAAAGCCCCTCATAGTAGGCTCATCCAGAATATGAAGATGCATGGGATCCATGGGTGATTTGGCCACATGGATTCAGAATTGACTTGCTCATAGAAGGCAGAGGGTAGTGGTGGAAGGGTGTTTTTCTGGCCGGAGGTCTGAGACGATTGGTGTTCCACAGGGATGTGTATTGAGATCTCCGCCGCATGTGATACGTATAAATGACTTTGATTAAAACGTAGATGCGTGGATTAGTAAGTTTGCAGATGATACAAAGTGGAGTTGTGGATAGTGTAGAAGGTTATCAAAGGATACAGTGGGACATAGACCAATCACAGATAATGCCAGAGAAATGGTAAATGGAGTTTAATCTGGATAAGTGTGAGGTGCGGCACTTTGGGAGATAAAATGTTAAGGAAGAGTATACAGTTAATGGCAGGATCCCCTTCATTCCAGTTTTTTTAAAAATTGAATTTAATTTCCACCATCTGCTGTGCTGGGATTTGAACACAGGTCCCCAGAACATTAC